GAGAGGCCCTTCCGCTGCGCGCAGTGCGGCCGGAGCTTCAGCCTGAAGATCAGCCTGCTGCTCCACCAGCGGGGCCACGCGCAGGAGCGGCCCTTCTCCTGCCCCCAGTGCGGCATTGACTTCAACGGCCACTCGGCCCTGATCCGCCATCAGATGATCCACACGGGCGAGCGGCCCTACCCCTGCACGGACTGCAGCAAGAGCTTTATGCGCAAGGAGCACCTGCTCAACCACCGGCGGCTGCACACAGGCGAGCGGCCTTTCAGCTGCGCGCACTGCGGCAAGAGCTTCATCCGCAAGCACCACCTCATGAAGCACCAGCGCATCCACACGGGCGAGCGGCCCTACCCCTGCGCCTACTGTGGCCGCAGCTTCCGCTACAAACAGACGCTCAAGGACCACTTGCGTGCGGGCCACAGTGGGGGCTGTGGGGGTGATAGTGACCCCTCTGGACAGCCGCCTGACCCCCCAGGCCCCCTCCTCACTGGGCTCGAAACCTCTGGCCTCGGGGTTAACACTGAAGGCCTGGAGGCCAATCAGTGGTACGGGGAAGGGAGTGGAGGCGGGGTTTTGTAAATCTCCCTCCTTCCCCCAGCTGGCCGAGCTGCAGCGGGGCAAGAGGCAAGTCCCCTCCACCTCCCCCTCCTCCGCCGTCATTGCGGCCTGGCACCTGCATGAATTTGGGGTCCTGTACACTTGAGTAGAGACATGCTTGAGTTTCGGAACTTCACAAGAACACCACATTTTGAAACCTAGGAAGACCTGGAAAAGAGCCCAGCTCCCCCATCTTTTGAAAAATATTACCTAAGCAGAAGTCATAAGAATGTTGCAGAGAGGTCGGAAAGCAAGATGTGACCTCGAGTAATTCATCACGGGGTAGCAGATTGATTAATGGTTGCAGCTCTAGGTAGAGTCAGGTGCATGGGAAGGCCTCCAAGCCTTGAAGCCCACCGTGAGGCAAAGAATGTTTAACCTCAGCCTTTCATAAATCCCTTGTTGGTAGATGGTTGTAGAAGAACGTGCCCCTGCGTGGGTCTGTGCTCCGCTCTTCCCTGACACCAGCTCAGGTGCTTAGGTGCTGCCTCTCCACATGGAAACCCAAGACTGCCCTCCTAGGTCTCCGAGATTAATTCTTCAGATACATTTTTGTTTAATATTGGGTGAGGAAGAAATCTGACTTTAAAAGCTTCTTAAGGAGAAAAGTTTTTTCACTAGCTTGACTTGAAGCATTGAGGCTTTTACTGGCATTTAAGCTGCTAGAAACCTTTGCCGAGGTCCAGGTTAAAAATCTGGGAGCAGTGTTCTCAGCCCCAGCTTTACAAGCCACAGGTCCCAGAGAAATGACAGAACAGCCTCGAATTTGTGCCTGAACCATGTTTCTTAGAGTCCCTTATGTCAAATTCTTCCTTATCATTTCCAAGCCAGTAAGCTGGCTTTTCCATTCCTGGTGTCCGATATTCTGACAATCATCAACAGAAAAGGTCATGGCACTTTCCAGAAGCATTACAGAGTTCAGAAAGTGCCAGTGGACTCTCAGCTTTCACGTCCTCAGAAGTGAGAGGGTAGTTACAAAGCAGCTTTCTTGAGCCAGCAGAGGGTGTCTGTTCACCTGCCTCACTGGTGAAGAACAGACTGAAGGACTTGGCAGGCCCCTGAGAGCTTAGCACCACATGCCAGGATGGCCTCTTCCTGCTGCGCTTGCTTCTGGGGACCTTGGCTATCATGTTTTCTTCTGTCAGGGTCAGTCAGTCACCTGGAAGCATCTGAGCCTGGTCCTACTCCTGAGCAGCTTCACAGTTGGGCCACTTTCTCTTTACAGATCTCAGATTTTCATCTGCAAAATGAGTCTGGTGAAGGGAAAAAAGTGAACCTTTAGGATTAAAAAAAAGAAAAAATCTTGTGATACATTCCTTCTACTGCCAGAATCCTCTCTCCCTCTCTGGCTTTGATCCAGGCAAAGCCAAATAAGACAGCAAAATCAAAGCAGAGACATTCTTGCTGAAACTTGACTGAAATCAATTTGATTTTTTCTTTTACTCTTGCTTGGAGACTGGGGCAGAAGACAGAGAATGCAGAAGCCCTAGGTCTTGGGCTGAAAAATTGTTTATTCCTGCACTCTCTTGTTTCCCCTGAATCTTCCTAAGATGTCTATAACAAGGTCTGTGAGTATTTAGACAAGACACTTTCTTGATGAAGTGATAAGGGTAGGACCCATTTTTTTCCCCTTATCACCCACCCAAACTTCACTCTGCCTAGTTATGTGTGGCCACACTAGAATAAAGTGTTACCCCAGCTAGCTCTGCTCCTGGGAAGACTCTGTCTGAACATGCTGCTCTTTAGGGTAATCACATTTATGAAACATCTGTTCTGACATTCACAATAGCAGGGAGCATGAGAGGCCTAAGAAACGTGTGTAAGACCTAGTTCACGGTCATAACTTACGAGTCTGAAGGCAAGGGTATAGAACCAACGAAAAGAGATGACAAACAGAACCCTGACGCATTGGGAGTAAGAATTTTCTAGCTGGAGTCTGGACCCACACTATGGGAAATTGGGGGGTTCTGGGGATCCCCAGGCCAGGGTTCCAGCTTCACTGATGATCCACTAGGAACCTGAGTGTGAGATCCAGCTCTGGTTCGCATCTTGATCTCCCTAACGAAAAGGGAGAAGAATCAAAGTACTGTCTTTAGGTGGTGCGCTCCCTTTTTGGAACAGATGAACTTGAGCATTTGCCAGGTATGCCTGAGAAGGCACTCCTACCCAAGATGTGATGTTAGCCTAGATGACATGGAAAATTCTTTACTCAGGTAGGTAGTTTGCTGAGGACACAGAGATTATTGATGAAAGAGACTTGTGAATTAAAAAACTACAGACAGGTCCCTTTCACAAGGAACAGTAACCAACAGGGACCGACACTTTGGCAAAAGTGAACAGAGTTCAAATATCAACAATCCAAGAGCCATGAAGCTGAATGAAAGGGACAGGCAGGGCCATGCCAGAAAGATGGAAGTCAATGTTATCCTCATCCTCAGCCCTGGGACACACTAGGGAGTTCAGCCTCTATGTATCCTGGTCTCCTTTCCCTCTACCAGACCTCTACCAGGTAGAACTCCAGGCCAGCTCTAAATTAGAGTTTGTTTAAGATTCAAAAGTGGATAAGTAAAATAGATCAGCAGAAAAGATAAATCCAGCAAAGTTTCCAGTGTGTGTAGAAACTTGGTCCATTAAGGGCTCCTGGGACAAATCACACACTTAAATTATCTGACGATGGGGCGTCATAACTGGCCACAACAGGAAAGAGGAGAACCTAGAGATGTGCTCTTAACCAGCCCGCCCTCCCGGCTAACAGGTCCATACTGCCCCGTAAATAGGCACCTTCTCCCCGGAGTGGATCCGGCTGTTGACTGTAACCAGCTTCACTCTCTGCTTACTAGAGTTGTCATTGTCACCGTCAGATGAGCCTCTGGTTCAGCCACAGATGTGAACGTAAATGGAGTTGATTGTCTGGAAAGTGAAAGAAGATGCCTCTGATCTTTTCTGCTGGATATTTATTATTGGAACACCGTAGCTGGGCTTGAGCTGCTTTACATAACTTCCTAGCAGTGCTTTACATAACTTCACTCATCATTAATAAGAGTCTGCAGAGTTCCTGTGGGGGACTCTGCTGGGCTGCTTTTGGAGCATTTAAAATATTTGGGTGTCCATGCCTGTCTCAACCAGGACCAGACCCAGGCTTACTAGGAAATAACAAATGCTCACTGTCTCAGTCTGTGAAAGTCTTGTCGATAAAAAAGGACCTGAGTTCCTTTATCTGTTATTCCAAATGGGATGGGGAACCCAAATATCTGCTCAGATTTTCTCTTGAGGAGGGGCAGGCCACTGTCCCACCCACATATCCCATATTGTAGCTTCTTGGACAATAAAAAGCATCCTTGTCACCCGCCTGAGGGCTGCTCAGAAGTGATGAGGAAAAGCAAGTTTCCCCAAAAGGTTCTCACAGACCAGGAACCCAGATACCATCAGAACTATGTTCTCCCTGTGTGCTCAGTAGATGCCTTTGACCCTGTTCTTGTCACCCTGCAAAGGAAGCAGTCCTCTCGCAGAGTTTTACACAGAGGACATCCTTTGACTTGGAAGTATCGGGCTCTTCCAAGCAGAAGATCCTCAAGTTAGGTGGGGAACGGGGGCAGGGAGTGCTTGGGCCACAGAAGGAGATGTCACGTGGGTCAGTAGAGCTTAGTGGTTTAGAGCATGGACTCTGAGTCAGACCTAGATTCAAGTTCTGACATAAGTAACCTAAATGATTTAACCATCATGAGCCTAGTTTCCTTATCTCTAAAATAATGATACTGTGTCTTGGATGTGTTGAGGTTAAAGGGGAACCTGTGAGTGCTGGGCACAGAGCCTGGCACACAGAGGTGTCAGAGTGGCAGCTGTCGGGAAAAGTGTAGGACCAGCCAGAGAGGGGTGTGGCGCAGGTGGAATCTGAAACAGAGAATGTGGAGAACAGGCTGTTCTGCGGAAGCACGTGGTTATTGCTTGAAGGCTTAGCTTTGGCCCACCATCTTTTTCTTCCATTTAGCCTATTCTTTTACTCTATCTTTCCTGTATCTCCGGGCTGCCAGAAGTTTCTGTGCACCGTGACACCATGTGGCTCTGACTCTCTTGGCTTGTCTGGCTTGTCTTAGTTCAGATGCTGAGGTGTGGGATCTGGCCCAGCTCCTCTTTCTATACTAGGCTACAGAAGTTTCCAGCCTAGGACTGGGACTGGCTGCCCTTGGGGTCCATGATCATCTTGCTTCAGTCAGCTGTAGTTGGGAGGAACGGTCCGAGGGTCCCTGCACCGGATCCACAGGCCCGGTAGATTCACTTGGGGATGGGCACACGGTGGCACAGTGTCGTGCTTCTAGTACCGCCAGCAGAGGAAGGAATCTGTTTCACCTGTATCGGGGTTCCTTGAAAGACTTCATCAGTACTAGCATAACCAGAGCGGTGGTCCCTTACATAAAGGACCTGGGAGGTGCTGTTTTGGTATCTTGTTACTTTCTAGGGTGTTATTCCTCCTTTCTGGCCCTGCTCCTTTCTTTTAAAATATGTAACTCTGGCCATAATTCTATATCCACACACACACATACACAATGACTTTTGTCAACTTAGTCAAATTGCCTCTTCAAAACAAAAAATGATTAAAACCAACTGCTCATTAAAGAACGCAGATGGATACAGGCAAATCAGAGAGGCCTCAGAAGCACTGTGCTGCGATGCTCTTAAAAGTGCCAGGTTACATTTCAAATAAAATACTTGATAAAACCTCACTGGGCTATGTGGCTTTGTCTTTGTTGTTAGCAAAGCCAGCATTTACTATAAAGTCTTGAAGCTGGTTTAAAAATTAAGCTACCCCAAAACTGAGGCCACGTCTTACTCTGTATTCTTCACGGTGCCATGGGCTGTTGGGGACGTGGGTGCTTGACAAATCCCTGTACAGTGGGAAGACCACCTGAGTAGGGGTTGAAAACCGTTGTGGGCTTAGCTTAACATTCGCTACCGACTTGATGTGGAGCAAGCCGCTTAATTTGTGTAGATCTCATTTTCCTAACTCTAGCGGGCAGATTGAACAAGGTGGTAATGTAAGGTCCCTTCCAACTCTAAAATCATAGAATTTAAGATTTTACTTCCTGGTCCTGTTTCCTTTGTCTGGTTTCTCCCCAGATTCAGCCCTAGTGAGTGAGTGCTTTGACACAGCAGAATGCTCCCCTTGGAGGGGTATGCATTATTACGGAACAAAGAGTCTCATTCTCACCATATTAGACTTACTCCAAAGCCACACAAACTACAAAATCCTAGCAAAACTATAAAATTTTGTTGTAAATACACAATATATGTTTGGTTGCATTTTTTAAGCATAGGAAAACACACCAAAATATCAATGGTTGTTCCAGGGTGCTGGGGTCATTCCGTGCTTACTTTTTCATGTAAATTTTGTGTAATGTAAAACATTTTGTGTGTAGCACTTTTAATGCTTTTATAAGAATGAGGATTATTGTAATGAAAGAGGTCCTGGAAAGGAGGTCAGGAGGCCAGAGTTGTAATCTTGCTTTGGTGTTTTCTCATCCATAGTGTGAGGATAATACATACTTTCCCAAGTTTACCTAGTGGTGTGAGACTCAGATGAGGGAAGGAGGGCTTAAAAAAAGTACGTTGAAACATATTGCAAACCTAAGAAGAAAGTGTTGATATAGTAGGTGCAGGAGAATTACTTGTTGATCAGTTAAAACAGTTTCCTGGATGTTTCTTAAATGATGCTTCTCTTCATTCAAGACTGGGCAGTGGTCGTTTCTTCACTTCCCATTTGCTTGCCTGTGCTGGGGGGAAGCTAGCCTGAGATTACAGCTTGGGACACAGTGAGAGAACAGAGGTACATAAGGGCAGAGACTGAAAACAAAGTTTGATGCAGAAAATATCAGGTTGACATATATAATGTGACCTATATAATGTACTGACTTCTCCCAGCAACTTAGGCAAGATAACCAGTTTTATGTATATGAGGAATTATAACAAGTTGAAAAGGCAGGCACATTACTAGAGAGATTGGTTTGAACAAGCAGAATTCAAAATGAAGGCTGTATATAAAGCTATGTACGTCAAATCTGTTCTCAACTTGAGTTTATAGTTTTAAAAAATTATATTAAAAAAAATAACTGCAAGCCAGCCTCAATGAGTAAACAGCATGATAAAAACAACAAACAAGAACAGTTAAATCAATCATAGTTTATTATTAGTAAGTAACAGTTTGGGATGTTCACGTCCACAGGGAGACCTCGTGGGGCTGAGACAAGGCTCTGAGAACAGCAGGGGGCCTTTCTCACGCTGCCTTGTTCTTAGCTGAACATTAGAATAACTTGGGGAGCTTAAAAAACTATTTATGTTGGGGGCCCACCCTGGCGTGATTGAATTCATCTGGGATAGGGCCTAGATGTTTTGTTTTTTAAAGTTTCCCCAAGTGATTCTCACGTGCCTGCAAGTTTAGAAGGTCGTAGAAAGAGAAATGAATTATTGGGCTGGAAATTACCAGTTAGCCTGCTTTTCTGGAATAGGGCACTGTGGATTGGAGATTAATAAAGGGTCTTGGACTCCACAATGGGAAGTCATAATTTGATTCTAAAGGCCGGACTCTGAAGGAAATAAGGCTATGGGAATGGTTGTTGAAAAGGGTCTGACTGATTCAGAGGCAGTGGGAAAAGCCGGATTCATTTAAGCTGTGCCGCCGCCGCAGGCTCTGTCCAGAAACCTGGTATAAAAACCATGGACAGGAGGCTGGATGCGCAGGTGGGAACGGCGCCTGTGCCGCAGCCATTCCTAAGCTCCACGTGGGGAGGCCAGCTCCTCTCTGGTAGAGCAGTTGCTGAAGAACAAAAAGGGACCCTGGTGACGACTGACGTCATTACCAGCTCAGATTTAACAATAATACATGGGTTTAATACCTTATTTGTTCCATTTAGAAAAACCACTATTCTGCATGAGCGCTAGACTTGATTTTGAATGAATTTTGACCATTTTTAGTAATCAATCCACACTTAAATGTTGAAGGGTTGCCCAGTGAGAAGATTCAAGAGAACGTACCAATTATCACCAACATAAAACATGCCTTCTGCATAAAGGGTTTCTGAGGCCTCAGTGCCTGTGTGTTAGGACTGTTGAGCAGTTTACTTACATAGTCACCAGGCAATCACATATTTGTTAAGACTGAGCAAAGTGCCATAGACTCATTAGGAACTGAAGAGAAGACAATGACCTTCACTCAGGTACTGTGTCAAGACTTGTAAAGAAAGTGATGAAATGCCTGTTTGTAGGAGGCTGAGAATAAATTCAAGAGGGAAAAAATATTTTCACCAAACTTCACATAGATATAAAGCAGAAATGTTCAGAAGTTACTGAGGAGAGGGAGAGAGGGAAAATCTAAGTGTGTGTGTGTTTGGGCCTTTACGTTTGAATTAAAATGCTGGCAAAAGGTGGGTCTGAAAAAGACAAGGCTATTGAAAACTCACTAGCAAGAGCAAGTTGACCTTAAAACTGTATACAAAATATGTGACTGTAATCCCGCAACAGTACTTTCGGCCTCTCCTAAGCAGTCTCGGAGCTTTGTCACCTTACCCCCAGCGACCCTCCCCTTTATAAAGTCTTGCTTCTGATTTTCAGTCATACTTAGGATGTCAGTGACATAGAAACCTAAGGTGTCATCCTTCCCTGGAAGTTGGCATAACTGGGGACAGTGTCCTAAAGTGAGATAGGAAGTTGTAGCCATGGACATGCTCGTGTGATCCGAGGCTGCCCTCTCTTCTCCAGCCCGTAGGTTACACTGCAGTCCTCAGGCCTGCTTGTGAAGCATGGAGACACACTAAAGGCAAAGCCGATTACCCTCTTCTACTAGATCTAGAGGGTTTCTTCCCCAAATTAAAGCGTGTAGTTGTTGAAAGAACATGAAGTGCACAGTGAGCACCAGGAATTCCTAGGGGATGGTGAACACGTGCATTAGGGCTCTCCAGAGAAACAGGATATTTAGAGATATAAAAGGGGAGACTTATCATAGGAATTAACTCATGCAATTATAGAGGCCAAGAAGTCCCATGATCTGCCACCTGCAAGCTGGAAAACCAAGAAAGCAGTGGTGTAATTCATTACGAGTCCAAAGCCCCAGGAACCAGGAGCACCAATGTCCACGGGCAGAGGTGGATGTCCCAGCTCAGAGAAAGAGGAAATTCTCCCTTCCTCTGCCTTTTGTTCTATTCAGGCCCTCACAGATTGGATGAAGCCCACCCACATCGGTGAGGGTGGTCTTCTTTAATCAGTCTCCGATTAAATGCTAATTTCTTCTGGAAACACCCTGACAGACACCCAGAAATAAGGTTTTACCAGCTATCTGGGCATCCCTTGGCTCGGTCAAGTTGAGTGTAAAATCGACCATCACAATACATACATGTCCTGGTAGTTATCTGTTTCCTCTCCTTTGGCCTCCTCTACATCCTTTAGTTCAGCATCTGTCACTTCGAATACCCTGCCTGGAGCAGAAGCTACCTGATTCCTAGATAAGGAGATGAGAAGTAGTCAGTTCCCACCTGAGAGACTGAGGGCCAGCCCTGGCCCTTCCCTTAAAGAAATGTTTATTAACACTGATGCTTGACATCCATAATTCACTTCAGCTAGTTGCTCATTCTGCTCTCAGTAAGTTAGGTAACTGCCTCGTAGTTACTCAGTGATTCACAGAAGCAAGTCTGATGCCTGGACACCTTTCCCCGTAAGGCTCTCTCCCACCCTCATATCTCTCCGTTGGTCACTGGAGTCCATGGGTCCCTGGCCTGTGCCGCTACAGCAGCCCCCTCCCTCCTCATGCCCTTCTTGATTTCCTCCTGGGACGTCCCCTAATCTCCCCATTCACTACCTGTCTGCTGTATCCGTTACCAGTTTTTGTGACCTGCAGTTCTAGGGTTGGAAGTTATAAAATAATGCTTGGACAATGATATCTTTGCATTTAAATTCTGTTTTTGAGTTGAGTAGCTTTGCTCACATCTCATGACAGTGAACTGAACTTCTGGTCGCCAGGGGTGAAAGTGTGATGTCTGAGTGAAAACACACCCTCTGTGAAGGAGAAATGTGAAGTGGACGTACTGCGCAGTATCTCATTGTGTAAAACGGGAAAGAGTTATGATAATTAGTTTAATGCTTAGGGAGGGCGGTAGTTTTAACTGCTTTATATGAGAAGATAGCTTAGCGCCTTGGGACTAACCTCTCTTCCACCTCTAGGACAGAGGGAAGGTGTTGATGAAATACAGTCAGAACATGTGTCTCACTGGTAGAAATGAATTTACCTGGAGTTTTCAGACTCCACTTGCCTGGTTCCCCTAAAAATGGTGAGCATGATATTTACAGTCAGGGGGCACCCTGTGGCCAGGGCACAGAGGGAAGGAAATCACTGACTTCTGTGAACAGAACCTTTGCTAGCCTGTAAGCTCCTTGAAGACAGTATTAAGCCCGTGAGATACTCATTCTGTGTCCTGGAAGTATACCTAACAGAGAAGTACTTGATAATAAAAGTAAAGATAAAGAAGTACTTGTCCTTCGAATGTGGCGCCCTAACACATGTCTCACTTGGGCTGATAATGCCCTTTATTTTACTAAGTGCAGTGGAACAAAAGATTACCAGTCTGGGGTGATTCTTTGGCAGGTCTGTCTCCACCGAGGGTGATAATAAGCCTTGGAGATCTCTGTCTTAACAAGCTAGGAACTAGTCATTTAGGAAGTCAGAGTAGACACTATTTTGAGGATAATTACAAGGACTTACCTTTTGGGGGCAGTTACCTTTGTTGAGTGCCTATAAGCACTCTTCTCACCTCATTTGATTTTATAACTGTGGAGTAGGCATTATTTTCTTCGTTTGTATCTGAAGAGACTGAGTGAAGCCCAGAGAAGTGAAATCGCTCACAGTTGCAGCTAGTGAGTGGTGATTTTGGAATTTAAATTCAGGTATCCAGCTGCAAAGCCTACCCAATGCGTAAGCGGCTCCTCAGTAAATACCAGCGGCGTGAGTGAATGAGTTCCCCCTCCACTATCTTCTGCATCAGCCTGCCTTGTCTTCTCCCTGGCCCGTCCTCCTCTCACTTGGCCTGATGTTTCAAAGTGATGTTGACCTACATTGAAAGGTTCTGGAAGAGGCTGCTGTTAAAATGCAGTGCACCTTACCTGGGAGAAAGTGTTTGGCTCTCTTCTGACACGGCTCAGGTCACTTCTCTGTCATCCAGACCAATGCAAAGGCCTGGGTTGGTCTAGGTAAACTTGGACTAGGAAGAGGGAGAGTGGGGAGGTGAAGCCTGCAAAGGAGTGAGGGGAAGGAAAGGCCAGAACAAAGGGTCTGGAGACAATCGCCAATTTTTCAAAAGGGTCAGGTCCTTTGGGATGCCAACATATATTAGCCAAAATAACAGAAATCCAGACCAAGGCTCAGGACCCTGCATTGTTTGGGACTTTAGGGCAGGCCATCCCAGACTGAGGGGCTCTGACGAGCAGAGCCGCACAGGGCC